CATAAATTATTAACTCATAAATAAAAACAAACAAAACTAAAATAGAAAAATTTAAACATCATTGACACAAGTCAATGAAGCTCAAACTACTGTTTTCTAATTTTACTTTTTATACGTGCCAGAGTTGTGCACTTTTAGGGTTTACCCGGGTCTCTCTAGGTAGTTCTGAATAGAATTATAATTTTTTTCTTACTCTTTCATCTATTTTGGTTAATTTGACATCTTAAACCTTCATAATCTGTCCATCCAAAGACTGAAAAATTTTACTAATCTTTGCTGGGAGTTTGCCATACATCCTGTCTTTTTTTTTTAAAATAAAAATAAAAGATAATAAAAGAAGTTCAATATACTTTAAATAACTAAGCTAGCACATTAATAGCTACCTTTTATATATGTTACAAAATTATTCCTACTTAAACAGCCAGACAGGAGTTCCAGATAATTAAAGCATCTAGATGCCACCTGTATGTTGTATAACATAACAATGTTTTGGGACAACATGGGACCTATTGGTCCATCTCAGCTATCTGATCCTCTAAATCTATTAATACATAAATTAAAAAAAACCTTAAATCCTGCCCTTATCATTCATATACACATCAAACTACAATATGCAGTTATGAGTTCTGGACCTTTGAAATACCTATATTCAATTTCTATACTGTATTCCTTACCTGATAATCCGTTAGCAATTCTGGACCTTTGAAATACCTATATTCAATTTCTATACTGTATTCCTTACCCGATAATCCGCTAGCAATTCTGGACCTTTGAAATACCTATATTCAATTTCTATACTGTATTCCTTACCTGATAATCCACTAGCAATTCTGGACCTTTGAAATACCTATATTCTATTTCTATACTGTATTCCTTACCTGATAATCCGTTAGCAAATCTGGACCTTTGAAATACCTATATTCAATTTCTATACTGTATTCCTTACCTGATAATCCGCTAGCAATTCTGGACCTTTGAAATACCTAGATGCCACTCGAACGTTGTATTCCTGGCCTGCATGATAGAACTCTGCTAGGCCCCAATCTATAAGTCGAAGCTGAAAAAGCATAAACATTCTTCAATTCTAGTAAAAATAGTGCACCCTGACTAATAAATAGCATTTCTAGCTAATTGACTTGACAAAATCAATTTATATAAATAAATATAATTCAAAATAAAACCTATTTGCAAATTTTAACAGACAAAGCTATGGCAAAGAAATCACTTTAGCCTGAAAAAATGAAAGAAGATAACTTTACATGCCTCCTTCAGAGAAATGTTATATTAAAAAGGGTATCCACGCCTCCTTCAGAGAAATGTTAAATAAAAAGGGTATCCACGCCTCCTTCAGAGAAATGTTATATTAAAAAGGGTATCCACACCTCCTTCAGAGAATTGTTATATTAAAAAGGGTATCCACACCTCCTTCAGAGAAATGTTATATTAAAAAGGGTATCCACGCCTCCTTCAGAGAAATGTTAAATAAAAAGGGTATCCACGCCTCCTTCAGAGAAATGTTATATTAAAAAGGGTATCCACGCCTCCTTCAGAGAAATGTTATATTAAAAAGGGTATCCACGCCTCCTTCAGAGAAATGTTATATTAAA